ATGTGCAGGGAAATGGAGCTAGAAGAAATCATGTTGAGCAAGGGAAGCCAAGAGCAAAGAGACAAACTGTACATGGTCTCCGTGATAAGTGGATGTTAAATCCAAAATGTTAGGTGATATGACAAAATTAACAGGACTTAAGAAACAAAGGACTGCCACTCATCTGGTCGAATCACTACTAAATAACCCCATGATGCTGATCACATGTATGGTGTATATGTGTACACTGGAGAGAAACCAGGAAGATGACACAGAACTAGAGGGAATCAGGGAAAAACATATAACAGTGGGACCTATCAGCTGCACTGGACATTGACCAAAATGAACTAAGCAACTTAATGGCAGCGATGGGAAGGAGGGAACAAGTGGGAAAGAGGGAACAGATGATGCTATACAAAACAAAAGAAATGTACATATCACCCAATGTGGAAGAAATAACTGTATCGCAAAGCTCATAGAACTCATAAATGTTATAGCCCGTGATAGACAATTTGCTCCAGGAAAGTTAGAATGTGTTTGTGACTTTAACTGAGCATCACTATCCCACAATACTGTGAAATTTGGGAAATTATGTAACCACTTAATCACAATTAAAAATTTGAAAAAAAAATAAAATAAAATGTATGGAAATGATTAGACATGGGTGTTGGTGCAGGTACAGCTAGACTCCAGGACTCACCACACAGTCTGCATTCTGGGTCAGCCTCTTGAGCGTGAGGAGTGAGTTGTAGGGCTGGACCACCACATCACTCATCTCATCCTGATTGGGAAACACTGAGTATGTCTGTACCAGCTTCTTAGGGTATCTGGTTGGGGTTGGGAAAAAAAGAGGGCAATGATTGGAGATTTGGTGATTAAGCTTCCCAACTCTTCTGGGAGCTGCTCAATCTGAATGAGGTGATTTAAATGAAGTGAAATTATAGAAAAGGAAGATCTGACTTGTGAATGTCTATAGCCTCAAAGCAGGAAGGAATGAGATATACCATAGAATCTATGGTTCCAATTCCAAACATGGCCTTGCTTCCTGGACCTTCATGGAAGGCCCAGATTCCAGGCTCTCATTTTAATCACTGAGAGTATCATTGGGTTTCTCCATTGTGACTTTACCTTCCTCACTACAGGAGGGAATACAAGTGTTCTTTTCCAATTCCAGTAAGTAGGAAGAAGGTATGTCAGTTAGGCCTTAGGAAACCAAGTTGAAGAGACTATGCCTCTTTCTGGGCTCCCAAACAGAGGCTTACCTGTCATTCAATCGCTCTAAGAGATAGGAGCCCAGGCCAGAGCCTGTCCCCCCAGCAATGGAGTGACACAGCACAAAGCCCTGCATAGGAAAAGGACAGTCAGTGAATGCGTAAATAATTTTTAAATTTAATTTAATTTTAGGTCATAATGGGATTAGCACTCAAGTCCTCTTGCTTGCTAGGCACGTTAGGTGGCAGGATTTTAAATAGACCCATACCACAATTTGATGGAGTCCTTTCTTCCTGAGCCCTTCCTTTCCTTCTTAATATAGTTCAGGAGGCTCAGCCTTGTCTTCAACAGGGTACAGTGGCTTTTGTCCAATGCAAAGAATAAATGGCTAGGTCTATGCCTAATAGAGGGTTTCTAAAAGTGCTTCCAAGCCAGGTGCTAGTGGCTCACTGTAATCCTAGCTACACAGGAGGCTGAAATCTAAGGATCACAGTTCAAAGCCAGTCCCCATGAGGGCTGGAAAGATGCCTCAGTGGTAGAGTGCTTTGCCTTGCATGCATGAGGCCCTGGGTTCGATTCCTCAGTACCACATAAGCAGAAAAAAAGCCAGAAGTGGTGCTGTGGCTCAAGTGGTTGAGCACTAGCCTTGAGCTGAAGAGCTGAGGGACAGTACCCAGGCCCAGAGTTCAGGCCCCATGACCACCACCACCACCACCAAAAAAAAAAAAAAAGAGAACAAGAGAAAAGTCCCCATGAGATTGGGTGCTGGTGGCTCACACCTGTAATCCTACTCAAGAGGCTGAGATCTGAGGATCAAGGTTCAAAACCAGCCCGGGCAGGAAAGTCTGTGAAACTTGTCAGTCGTGGGGCTTGAACTCTGGGCCTGGGCGCTGTCCCTCAGCTCTTCAGCTCAAGGCGAGCACTCTACCACTTGAGCTACAGCGCCACTTCCAGTTTTCTGGTGGTTTATTGGAGATGGAGTCTCTCTTGCCCGGGCTGGCTTTGCACCGAGATCCTCAGATCTCAGCCTCCTGAGTAGCTAGGATTACAGGCATGAGCCACCAGCGCCCGGCCCCGTGAAACTCTTATCTCTAATAAACCACCAGAAAACCGAAAGTGGTGCTATAGCTCAAGTGGCAGAGCGCTAGCCTTGAGCTGAAGAACTGAGGCACAGCAGTCAAGCCCAGAGTTCAAGCCCCAGGACCGACAAAACAAAACTGGGAAGTTGGAGTTGTGGCTCAAAGTGCTATAGCACTAGGTAGCCTTGGGCAAAAGAGCTCAGAGACAGCATCCAGGTCCTAAGTTCAAGTCCTACAACTGACAAAAAAATAAAAATAAAGTGCTTCAAGCCCTTCTTTGCTTTTTGTTTTTGTTTTTGTCAGTCCTGGGGCCTTCAGCTCTTCAGCTTAAGGCTAGCACTCTACCATTTGGGCCACAGCGCCACTTCCAGGTTTTTCTGCTTATGTGGTACTGAGGAATAGAACTCAGGGCCTCATGCATGCAAGGCAAGCGCTCTACCACTGAACCACCTTCCCAGTCCCCCAGCCCTTCTTTATGTCAAATCCTTTGGGACACTCACCTCTAGACTGTCACTGCCATCTGCTTCCCGATCTATGATGTCAAAAATATCCTCATGGATCTTCTCTCCCTATGCAGAGACAGGAGGGTCAGAATGGAACAGGGTCATATAACAAGGAATAACCTCAGAATAGCTACCTTGATTCTCTCCATAGCACCTAAAGTCCTCTTATTAAGCATGACTACCTTTCACATTGAGCGGTAGTACAATATAGCAGCTACAAGAAATTTATACTTAAGACAACCTTGATACCCACATGACCCATTCATATGTTAGCTCTATTTCCTTTCATTTTGAAATTATGGGGATTGAGCCCAAAGTCTTTTTTGTGCATTCTACTACTGTACTGTAGGTACACTGTATAGGTGATTAATTCCGGGCAGATTAATCTTTTCCTGCTTTAATTTCCTCATCCAGCAGAGGTTATAACATAGGACCATAGTCTCTTATCTAAAATTCTTTGTGCTCATTATGATTTTGAACTCAAATTTACAAAGGCAGTTTGTTACATAGTAAAGAAAAATCCATAGTACATGCACAGTAAAGAAAAAGCCATGGGAGGCATGTTAATCAAACAGACTAACATTTCTGTAATTATAGGTAAGAGTAATGACAGAGAATTCTATAAAACAGCTCATCTCCATTGAGATTTGGCTTTATGTCTTTTGACTTCAGACCTTCTTGGATTGTGAAAGAACAAATAGATTGTGGACCTCTAGGACTTACCTCTAAGGATGCTGAGAAGTTTAAATAAAATAATATAGTATTTAGAATGGCTTGAACACTAAATGTTGTTAGTTGCTTCCTTTTTTGTTTGTCTTTATCTATCATAGGCTGCCCTTGAACTCATCATGCTCCTGCCTCGTGTCCTACTACATATGGCTTTATTGTAGGCAAGTTAACAGCACTATACAGTCAGCTCTCTGCAGCTATGTCTGTCTGTCTTTAGCACTTATACTTCTGACTTGGTTTCATCTCCCCCTCGGAAGTCTTAGGGCCGGCACAAGGAGTTGTGAACCCTGCAGGAGAATAGCAAATGACCTGGGAGAATCCACTGGCCCAGTTGTTGCCAGCTCCTCCTCCATGTTCCGACAAGTAGATGTTCTCTGGGTTGTAGAGCTTGGCATAGGAGGAGTTGAGGATGGAGTGGATCACTCGAGGCTCCAGGTCCAACAGCACGGCCCGAGGAATGTAGTGCTCATCATCTGCCTATCAAAGGGAGGCCAAGAGGGGACTTGGGTCAGCTGGGGGGGGGGGAGAGAAGAAGGGAGGTCCCGAGTCCTCCCCACTCCAATTCTTGCTGCCTCTCCCGCCTCAAACCAGCAATCCTGACCCCTCTGCCCAGTGGGTTTCCCAGTCCCAGGCCGCTACCCTTCCTTTCAGTCCCCCCTGGGGTTACTGCTAGCCTTGGCCTAGTTGCTGGGGGCACCTGGTAAAAAAAGACGTCCTTGCGGTCAGTGCCCTCGGTGGCAAACTCCTCCACGATGCCCTCCGGGCTGATACCATGCTCTGCGCACAGCTGTTTCCAGAACTCGAACCCGACTGGGGAGAAGGAGTGGGCAGGAGAGAAATAAGATAGCTGGGTTTGGACAGGGTTCCAACTAGCAGCCACGGGACTGAACGCCTAGGTCCAAGCATAAGAAGCCTGGCCTCAGGCCTCGCCAGTATCTTGAGGAGAGGAGTATACGGCGGCGACAGTACAGAGGAGTGCCCCTGGGCTGCTAGCAGGACCACAGGACCCTGAGTCGAGGATGTCCCGCCTTTCGGAGAACTGCGATTCTGGGCATGGCAGATGGAACCTAGGATTCCACAGAGAGGTCCAAACGGAGCTAAGGAACCTAGCTAAAGGAGGGCCCGGAGGTTCGCTCACTCTGATTGCCGCACTGGCCCAATTGCAGGGTGATGATTTCTCTCGGCATCGCTCCTTAGGTACCAGCGTTGCAGCCGCTCCCGCCAGGAACGCCGCGACTCGCCTGCCCGCCGGCCGCAAGACGCAGGCGCGTAATAACTAGTTCCACCTACCAACTTTCTTCGCTCCAATGAGCTCTGGGTTCTGTTGAGGGCAAGTTCCCTTACTCCTTTGGCTTCACTTGTGTAGAGCGCGCATGCGCAGAACCGTTTCGGCATTCGATTCCTCCGCGCGAAGGGACCCATTTTGACTCAGCCTCCCCCGCTTTCTAACGAACGAGCCTGTGCGCTTGCGCACAAGTTGAGAGGCGGTGTTCCCCCCCGCCAGCCGAATCTCGCATCTGCGCAGTTGCTGTTATTTGTGTTCGTCGAGCCGCAGTCCCGGATGTTGTGGCTGCCGGGGGGGAGATGGCGGAGGTTGAGGGGGTAGTTGCGGCCCCAGGGCCAGCTTCAGGGTTGGCTTTCAGGGGCCGCCAAGCTATGTCCGGCTCCTGTGAGCGTGACCAGCAGGTTGAGGCGACGCAGCGGGCCCTGGTGGAGGTGTTGGGGCCCTACGAGCCCCTGCTGAGCCGGGTCCAGGCAGCCCTGGTGTGGGAGCGGCCAGCCAGGAGCGCCCTGTGGTGCCTGGGGCTGAATGCGGCTTTCTGGTGAGAGAACTGGACCCTCTGAAACCCTGCAGGGCGCGAACTCGTCAGGTGTCTCTGGGGTTCTCACCTCTCCGCCTGCCCGGTTTCCTTCTCTACATTGCCTTACCTCCTTCCACCCCATCCCGCCTCCACGCTGCTTTGACATTCCAGCCCTTGCCAGGGCCTTCCAGCTGGCCCCCGCGCTGTACCCGCGCCCGTACTCTCGCCCCGCACATCTGGCGGAGCTTCTGGTAACTTCTGGAGGGGTTCGCAGGGAAAACCAAGATGCCTCTTGTTAGCTTGTGAAAGCTGTTTCCTGTAAGGCCCTTATCTTCTTTTCTCTTTTCTGCCCAAGTGTGGCTGGAAGGCTGCCTTCCAGAGATTTTTAGCAGTGAGAGGTGGAGATGGAAGGTCTTAAAAAAATGTATCCATAGCTGTGATAAGAAAACAAGTTGAGGCGGTTAGCATGAATTAGCATCTTGGATAATTCATGTCTCACTCCGTCCAGAGAGTTGAAGTTTAGGCGTCCGTGTGGACCTCCACAGATGAAACTTGGAAGAAAATGCTAAGCCTTTAAAGGAAATAGTGATCGTGAGATCTTACCCTTTCCACAGCCAGTTAAGACTGCAGTGCCTCCCTGTTTCAAGAAATTAGAGAGGCATCCTTAGCCACGGTACATAAACAAGGAAATCGAGGCTATAATAAAATTTTCCAGGACTGGACAAGTGGCACTGTAAATACATTTTAAATGTAAGGGTCATGCTTTGGGGAAATGGGACTGCTGTTCCTCTCCTAAGTTGTCATCTCCTAAAGACAACAGGTCTTCATAGAATCTACCAATCATAGTTGGGGGTTTGTTAATAGGGAAGTAAGTAGATTCAATTCCAAGGGTACTGTGCATGTATGGGAGAGGGGGAGCTTCAGCTAAATGAAATAAGACTACCCTGGATAAAAGTGAATCAACAGTGAATTTTTTAATTTGTTGTTTTTGCCAAAAATAGCTTCTTAACATTCTTGGTTTGAAAGTCAAAACATTGCCATTTGGTTGAAAGAAATTTTAGTGCATGGGTATAGAACAATTAATTCGAAGTCCTTTGACTTAGTCCTCTCCTAGTTTGAAGGAGACTCACATTAAAGGTACCATAGCAGTCTGGCATTTCTTGATTCCATTCTTTAGCAAATTAGATGGTAAACTTTTCCTTCTCCCTCTTTCACTACCTCCCTCCCTCTCTTTCCCAGAGCCTTGTGCATGCTAAGCATGTGCTGTATCTTTGAGCTAACCCCAGCCCTCATCACCTGTTGGTAAGGTAATCATTCTTCCTCGACCCCCAGGTATCAACTTCCCTTTCATTGCTGTCAGAAGCCCTTAACTGTAAGTACCTCATTTAGGAGCATTTATCCAGGCAAAACTTCACTTCCCACAGTGGTGCCCCTAGAAAGAAAGCAACAGGAAACTGCTGGCCCCCAACAGTTTTCTGAAGTTTAGTAGTGTGCTGTTTAGTTTTTCTTTTTTGTGGGTTGTGGGGCTTGAACTCTGGGCTTGGGCTCCGTCCCTGTGCTCTTCCGCTCAAGCCGAGCGCGCCACCGCTTGAGCCAAAGCCCTACTTCTGGTTTTCTAGTAGTTTATTGGAGATAGTCTCACAGAGTTTCCTGTCCGGGCTGGCTTTGGACCGTGATCCTCAGATCTCAGCCTTCTGAGTAGCTAGGATTACAGGCGTGAGCCACCAGTGCCTGGCTAGTCTGCTGTTTAGAATCTCACTTTTGCACTCTGGATGGCAAAACTTTATTGTACTTGGTCTTTATCTCTGGCATTTTCTGGTAGCATGCCTGCTGTGTATCTAGAACACAGTAACTCTTATTACAGTCCCATCACATTCTAAGAAGGTAGGAAAGAGCAAAAGGAGAGTGTGGCCGGGCGCCGGTGGCACTGTGTCTCAAAGTGGTAGAGCACTAGCCTTGAACAAAAAAGAGCTCAGGGCTGGGCACTGGTGGCTCACGCCTGTAATCCTAGCTACTCAGGAGGCTGAGATCTGAAGATCACAGTTCAAAGCCAGCCCTGGCAGGAAAATCCGTGAAACTCTTATCTCCAGTAAACCACCAGAAAACTGGAAGTGGTGCTGTAGCCCAAATGGTAGAGTGCTAGCCTTGAGCTGAAGAGCTGAGGGACAGCACTCAGGCCCAGAGTTCAAGCCCCATGACCGACCCAAAAGAAAAAAAAAAAAAGGGTGACTTGAGACAGAAAGAATAGTTGGCTATGCTATTTATGAAAACTTACACCTATGAAGGATACAGATAGGACTAGGGTCCAAGACACTAGACTATTAGGCATTGGCATTCATAGAATTATGTAGGGGAATGAGCTTCTTTGGAAAGTAGTCTGAAGTTTAAATTGAAAATTAGGCTTTACATACCAGTAGTGTCTTATTGAGTATTTGGGTATTGACATTTCAGTTTGGAATGTGGATCAGTGTTTAGGTCGTAGACATATTAAATATTTAAGAAAGGAAAGAGTATGAGTATCATTAAAAAGTCAGAAAAAGCAAATCTAAAATACTTAATCTTTCATCATGTGTTAAGAATCATAGCATATTGTTGAGGTGTTATATGCATTTTGAACTATTACAAGATTGAATAATAGAAAAAAGTAATCAGAAATCAAGTAGGTAGCTCTTTTAGTTATGGTTAATCTTGATCTGAGGATCACAGTTCCAAGCCATCTGTTTAGAAAAGTCCATGAGACTCTTATCTCCAATTAATGACCAAGAAGCCCAAAAGTATAAATAAGAAAACAAAAAGCCAAAAGTAGAGCTATGGTTCAAATGGTAGAGTGCTAGTCTTGATCACAAAAGCTTGGGAACAGTACCTAGACCCCCGAGTAAAAGCCCCAGAACCAATAAGTAAATAGACAAATAGATCTGTTTACAATAAGTAAATAGATAAATAGACCAATGTAGATAGCTTGTCACCATAGTATTCTTAGACTTTTACTCCCCCACCCCCACCCCCTGGAGGTTCTAACAAAATTATGGTGGCCATATCAGAGACCTGGCTTAGATTACCTTTGGTCACTGACCAGTTATTATCTCTAAGATAATAGTCTTCACTGCTAAAAGCTGATATTTTTATTAGCCTCACTTTATCTGTAAATGAATGACAGGGGAAGAATACGGGAGTCAGCAAGAGTACATCCTGACAGGATCAGAAAAAAACAGATTCCAGTAGCTTTTTGGTTTGTGTCATAGGAGCTAAGAGTGAGGGTAAATGAGCCCTAGAAATGTGAGGGCATTCCAAGCTCCTTCACACTTCCATGAAGAACACATGGTTCAAGGAGCACTAGATGACTTACTAAGCTGATTCCCATTTAATATTATTCTAGGCCGTCTGTAGGGATATGATTGAGCACAATCCACAAGAGGATTCTTTGTTGAGATCTGTTTTTATAGTCACTAATCTGAATTAATCATGTTATACTGAGGGGGTCATTACAGAATCTGTTTTTTTAAAAAGGTTCCCTTTCCTCCCTAAAACAAAAAAAAAGTTGTGTGGGGGTTTTTTTGTTTTTGTTTTTTGATGGCTTGGAAATTGATGAAGCAATTCTGACCCTAAAAGGTTAGAATTTGAAGCCAGGCACCAGTGGCTCAGGCCTGATGACCATGGTTCAAAGCCAGCCCAGACAGGAAAGTACATGAGACATTTATCTCCATTTAACCACCAGGAAACAGGAAGTGGTGCTGTGCTTCAAGGTGGTAAGCACCCTCCTTGAGTGAAAGCTCAGGAACATCTCCCAGCCCTGAGTTTAAGCCCCATGACTTAACCAAAAAAAAAAGAAAAAAACACCTGGGCGCCGATGGCTCATGCCTGTAGCTACTTAGGAAGCTGAGATCTGAGGATCACAGTTCAAAGCCAGCCTGGGCAGGAAAGTCCATGAGACTCTTATCTCCAATAAACTACTAGAAAACCAGAAGTGGCGCTGTGGCTTAAGCGGTAGAGGGCTTGCATTGAGCTGAAGAACGCAGGGACAGCGCCCAAACCCAGAGTTCATGCCCCACGACCGACCAAAAAAAAAAAAAAAGTTAGAATTTGAGTGAAAAACAGTTATACTGGAGTTCTTATTCAGGTGGTAGAATGCTTGCCAAACATCTTCAAGGCCCTCTGTTTAATCCCTAGTACCAAAAAAATAAATAAACAAAACCCCAACAAACAGAAAATAGTTTCCGTAGAGACAATTTGTTTCCTGGGGAAAAAATGTGTACATAAAGTTTAGATGAAATCACTTGAGCCAAATGAGTCTGGTTATAGTCTTTCCAAGCCCCAGGACTAGGAGGAAAAATGTCTAATTTAGCTTTTTTTTTGTCAATGCCTGGGCACTGTCCCTCAGCTCTTCAGCTCAAGGCAAGCACTCTACCACTTGAGCCACTTCTAGCTTTTTCTGCTTATGTGATACTGAGGAATTGAACCCAGGGCTTCATGCATGCTAGGCAAGCACTCTACTACTAAGCCACATCCCCGGCCCCTTATTTATATTTTTTTCATGCTAAGTGTGTGATAAGTACCTATCACAGTGCCCAGTTTTACTCATTGAAATGTAGTCTTGTTTTTGCTTGTGCTAGCCTTGAACTTCAGTCCTCCTTATCTCAACCTCCTAAGTAGCTAGGATTACAGGCACTTACCACAGCCCTAGCTTTGTCCCCTGTTTTTATCTATCTTAATTGTAAGGTTGGATGCTTTCTCTCAATTAACATATAGGTAAACCATTAGCAGCTAGTTGGTTCCATTTCTTGTTTTTGTGCAAGCAACAACTATCATTATATGGTATGGGTTGGGTTAATTTTTTTCCTTTTAATTTGCCAGTGACTAGCTCATTAACTACACAGTCACAAGTGCTGTACAATAATGGGCTTACTGTCCCTGTAGGCTGCCATCCTTTGTTCTGAAGTGCCATTGAGATGAGCTTATGCTGTAATGACAAAGGAAGCTAAAAATAATATATTATTTACTAGAAAATAGTAATAGAGAAATATATGTTTGGGGTTTTTTCCTTCTTGTGGAACTGAAGGTGGATCCTAGGACCTCATACACATTATACAAGTATTATGTATGACTATCACAAACCTTTACCAATAATGTTGATCCAGAAAAGAGGAGGAGGAAGCCTGGTGCCAGTGGCTCACACCTGTAATCCAGCTACTCAGGAGGCTGAGATCTGAGGATCAAGGTTCAAAGCCAGCTGAGGCAGGAAAGTACATGAGACTCATCTCCAATAAACTTAGAAAACTGGAAGTGGTGCTGTGGCTCAAGTGGTAGAGTGCTAACCTTGAGCTGAAGAGCTGAGGACAGCACAGTTCAAGCCTCATGATGGAAAAAAAAAGTGCTTATTGACTTAGTATTTCACTTCAAATAGCGTTCTTATCATTCGTCTTTCAAATTTTTTTATTACTGCCTTATATTGTAACTATAATATTTACACTACAGGGGTGCAGTTAATATCAACTTTTTTGTTTTTTTTGTGTGTGTGTGTTAGTTCTGGGATTGTGCTAAGCACAATCCAGGACCTTGTACTACTCTCACGGCTAGCACTCTACCTACCATTTGAGCCATGCCTCCAGAAATTTTTTACTGGCTAATTGGAGATGGTCTGTCACGTACTTTTCTGTCTGGGTTAGCTCTAACTTTAGTCCTCAGGTCTCAGCCCCTGACTAGCTAAGATTCCCAGGCATGAGCTACCAGTGCTGGTTTATGTCTTACTCTTTTCTGTAATTGAGCTGCTTGCTTACCAAAAAGCCTCAGCAAATAGGCACTCAATAAACGTTCAATTAAGTTAAAGCATGGCTTAGGTGAATGGGAGGTGGAAGCAATTTTTTTCCTACTCCATTTCGTATTCGTTTAAAAAATTATACTCTGGCCAGGTGCCGGTGGCTCACACCTGTAATCCTAACTACTCAGAAGGCTGATATCTGAGGATCACAATTTGAAGCCATCCTGGCTTAGTCTGTGAGACTCTTTTTGTTGTTGTTGGTCATGGGGCTTGAACTCTGGGCCTGAGAGCTGTCCCTCAGCTCTTCAGCTCAAGGTGAGTGCAGTACCACTTGAGCCACAGTGCCGCTTCCGATTTTCTGGTGGTTTATTGGAGATAAGAGTCTCATGGAGCTGGGTGCCGGTGGCTCATGCCTGTAATCCTAGCTACTCAGGAGGCTGAGATCTGAGGATAGAGGTTCAAAGCCAGCTTGGGCAGGAGAGTCCGTGAGACTCTTATCTCCAATAAACCACTCAGAAAACCGGAAGTGGTTATAGAGTGCACCTTGAGCTGAAGAGCTAAGGGACAGCATCTAAGCCCAGAGTTCAAGCCCTACAACTGACAAAAAGAGAGAGAGAGAGAGTCTCATGGACCTTCCTGCACGTGCTGGCATTGAACTGCGATCCTCAGGTCTGTTTCCTGAGTAGCTAGGATTACAGGTGTGAGCCACCTGTGCCCAGCTATGTGAGACTCTTATCTCCAATTAAACAGCAAAAGGCCAGAAGTGGAGTTGTGGCTCAAGTGGTAGAGTGCTAGCCTTGAGGAAAAAGGCTCAGGAACAGACCCCAAGCCCTGAGTTCAAGCCCAGGATTGGCACCCTCCACGACCCCCCCCCCCAAAAAAAAGCAAGCTCTGAGAACAGGAGGTTTTAGGCAATCTTATTACCTACCTAGCTCTTTGAAGTACTGAGCAAAGTAGTTGTATCACATATAGCTAGAGAAACAGCAGCACTAGGGAACAAGAAACTCGGCCTTATTAAGTTTGCTTATTTGTTGGGATAATGCACTGACTTTGGAAAGAAGCTTAATGGCCAGAGGCAGCTCTAGAGATTTTATTTTTAAGCTGCTTTCATTCTTTAATCTATCATATGATTGCAGTATCTGTTAAGTGATGGGATAGAAAAAGTTGGGATAGGGTTGTCATTGGTGACTAGATTTCTGATTCTCATTTCCTTTCAGACCTTTTTTTGTTGTTGTTGTTGGTTGTGGGGCCTGAACTCTGGGCCTGGGCGCTGTCCCTCAGATCTTCAGCTCAAGGCTAGTGCTCTATAGTACCATTTCCAGCTTTTTCTGCTTATGTGGTGCTGAGGAATCGAACCCAGGGCCTCATGGATACAAGGCAAGCACTCAACCACTGAGCCACCTTCCCAGCCCTCAGACCTCATTTTTAATATAATTTTATTTTTATTTTGTAATTCTTAAATGTTAAACTAAGTGATTTGAACAGAGGAACAAAAAAATCACCAAGACAGACTGGCTTTAAGATTGAAAATATGGAATACTTCATGAATTTGCATATCATACTTCTGCTGGGACCATGTTATTCTTCTCTGTATCATTCCAATTTTAGTATATATGCTGCCCAAATGAGCACGTAATATAATTTTTAAAAGGTAACATGCATTGGTGTTTATAGAAATGACTACAAAACATCTGGAAACAATTTAAAATTGCTTTACCATTTCCTGTGTATGTGTCTAACTTCATATATAGATAGATATAAATATAGATATAGAAATATATCCAGAAAAAAGCTTTTTCTTTGTTTTGTTGTTATTCTGGAATTGGAACTAAGGTCACAAGTCTTTAATCTTTTATGTATGATAGGAATTATAGTTAATTTTTTTTTGGGGGGGAGGGGTAGTCATGGGGGCTGAACTCTGGGCCTGGGTGCTGTCCCTCAGCTCTTCAGCTCAAGGCTAGTGCCCTACCACTTGAGCCATAGTGCTACTTCCAGCTTTTTCCTGCTTATGTGGTGCTAAGGAATCAAACTCAGGGCCTCATGCATGCAAGGCAAGCACTCTACCACTGAGCCAGCTTCCCAGCCCCTGATAGGAATTATACTTTGAGAATTGTTCTGTGATTTTGACAAGTTGTTAGGCCATGTTGTTGAACTGTGATCATTCCAGAGTTATTACCTATATCCAATCCTTACTTTTACCTCTTTAGTCAGTTGCTATGACAATACCTAATAACAATACAGCATTATAAATAATGAATATAGCTGGGTGCTAGTGGCTCATGCATGCCTGTAATCCTATTCAGGAGGCTGAGGTCGGGTGATGGCAGTTCAAAGCCAGCCTGGGCAGGCAAGTCTGTGAGATTCTTATCTCCAGTTAAACACCAGAAAACCAGAAGTGGACCTGTGGCTCCAAGTGGTAGAGCACTGGCCTTGAGATGAAGAGTTTTGGGACAGTGCCAAGGCCCAGAGTTCAAGACCCACAACCAACAATAAATAAATACATAATAGAATTACAGGCTAAGCATATATTATGTACTTATTATTTTCTTGACTTTTTTGGCCACAGTGATTTAAGTGTGTTATTAAGAATGTTATTTCTCTCCTGGCACTGGTGGCTCACCATGATCCTCAGATCTCAGCCTCTTACGTAGCTAGGATTACAGTCAGGAGCTACCGGCACCCGTCTGCATGTTTTTAAGTATATCTCTGTCAGTGTGTTCCCCTATAATGAATGGTACCTAATTTGACAGATGATAGATGTTTGCTTTCATCATAACAATTTATCAAGGGTTAATGTCTCTAAAATTATTAGAATCACAGACTGAAAAGTTGAAAGGGATTTTGAGAGATTAATTAGGCCTCTGCCTTTACAGAAGCAAATTATTATCTCTGTTCATAGATAAAATAGTTAAGACACAAAAGTTTCAATTATTTACCAAAGGTGTACAACTAATCAGTGTTAGAACATACAAAATTTTTGTTTGTGTACTCCAGTAGCAATAATGTACATGTAGTGTTTTTGAAATTAGCTTAATTTCTTAATAACTTCTTGTTTCTCCTTCTCTGTAGGTTTTTTGCACTGACATCCCTTCGTCTTGTGTTTTTACTTTCATTTGGCTTGATGATCATTGTCTGTATTGATCAATGGAAGAATAAAATTTGGCCTGAGCTGAAAGGTAAGTTCAATAGCATTTAGAACAGTCTGGATTAGAAATTTAATTTTTGCCTTAAGTTTTGTTTTGTTTCAGTTTTTGAGATGTGGAGCTTGAGACATACTATCTTTTGAAATCTAAATTATTTGCTTTTAAGAGACACTTGAAAGGCTTGTGCCCATCTGTAAGTAAGCTTTGCCTTTCCCATCTTAGCAAATCTATAGCTACCTCTCTATTCTGGGGAGTAAGTAGTTCTTTTTTTTTTTTTTTTGTCGGTTGTGGGGCTTGAACTCTGGGCTTGGGCACTATCCCTGAACTCTTCAGCTCGAGGTGAGTGCTCTACCACTTGAGCTACAGTGCCACTTCCGGTTTTCTAGTGGTTTATTGGAGATAAGAGTCTCATGGACTTTCCTGCCCAGGCTGGCTTTGAACCGTGATCCTCAGATCTCAGCCTCCTGAGTAGCTAGGATTACAGGCGTGAGCCACCGGTGCCTGGCATAAGTAGTTCTTAAGAGTTTTTTTTTTTCCCAGTTGTGGGGCTTGAACTCAAGGTCTGGGCATTGTCCCCTGAGCCTCTTTGGGTTCAAGGCTAGCCATCTACCACTTGAGCCACAGTGCCACTTTTGGTTTTTGAGTAGTTAATTGGAGATAAAGAGTCTCATGGGGACTTTTCTGCCCAGGCTGGCTTCGAACCACGATACTCAGAAATCAGCCTCTTGAGTAACTAGAATTACAGGTATGAGCCATTGGCACACACTAGCTTAAGAATTTTTTTTTCTTTTTGCCAGTCCTGGGGCTTGAACTCAGGTCCTGGGCACTGTCCCTGAGCTGCTGTTGCTCAAGGCTGGCACAGTGCCATTTCCAGCTTTTTCTTTATATGGTACTGAGGATTCGACCCCAGGGCTTTATGTATGCTAGTCAAGCACTCTTACCACTAAGCCACATTTCCAGCCCCAGTTTAAGAATTTTTTTTTTTGTCGGTAGTGGGGCTTGAACCTCTGGGCTTGGGTGCTGTCCCTGCACACTTCAGCTCAAGGCAAGCGCTCTACCGCTTGAGCCACAGCGCCCAGTTTTCTGGTGGTTTATTGGAGATGAGTCTCACGAATTTTCCTGTGGGCTGGCTTTGAACTGTGATCCTCGGATCTCAGCCTCCTGAGTAGTTAGGATTACAGGTGTGAGCCACCAGCACCCAGCCCAGTTTAACAATTTTTAAAAATAAATATCTTTAGCTAGGCACCTGTAATCTTAACCACTCGGGAGGCTAGCTTGAACAGACAAATCTTTGAGACTGTTCCTCCATTTAACCAGCAAAAAGCCAGACGTAGAGGCATTGCTGTACTGGTAGAGTTCCAGCCATGAGTAGAAAAGGCTGAGTGAGAGCATGAGGCCTGTGTTCAAACCCCAAAGCAAAAATCCTTACTGGATTATGTATCTTTACTGAGAGAATATCAACTTACTTCCCTAGGATTTCTTTTAAATCATTTAGTTGTAATGTGCTAAGTGAAGCATTATGATTTATGGAAAGTAATGTAAAACAGGGTACTTATTTTGGTTTTGTGGTTTGAGGTCTTAGTTTAGGGCCTTTGCCCTCTTTTATCTTACTTTCCTGAGTGCTGCTCTACCACTTGAGCCACATCTCCAGCCCTGAGACAAGGTACTTTTCAAAGATTTTTTTCTTTAGCATAAGAAAAATTAATGACATAGAATAATACCAGAGATAACATAGTTTAGTTTGAATTATATATTCATTATTTTAGTCCTTAACTGAAGCCTAGAATGGAGAAAAATGAAAAACATTTGGAAATTGGAAAGAAAACTATTTCTAGATAGGCCAATAGCTTGATTAGTTTAAGGAACAAGCTGCAAAGCTTCTTCTGAGAACAGAGGATTGAGAATTTGGGTAAAAATGAAAAATTATTCAAGGTAGTACTAAGAAATAAAACTGTAGCCCAGCGCTGGTGGCTCACATCTGTAATGCTAGCTACTCTGGAGACTGGGTGAGATCTGAGGATCATGGTGTGAAGCCAGCCCAGGCAGGAAAGTCTGTGAGAGTCTTATCTCCAATTCACCACCAAAAAGATCAGACTGGAGCTGTGGCTCAAGTAGTAGAGCACTAGCCTTGAGCAAAGAAGCTCAAGGACAATGCTTAGGCCTTGAGTTAAACCCGAGCACTGACACAAAACAAACAAAAACGATCTCAAAGGTTATTGCCATTAGATTTTTTTTTAACCTTAAGATACAAATCTTTGCTGTGCGCTGGTGGCTCACGCCTGTAATCCTAGCTACTCAGGAGGCTGAGATCTGAGGATCGCGGTTCAAAGCCAGCCCGGGCAGGAGAGACCGTGAGAATCTCCAATAAACCACCAGAAAAACCGGAAGTGGCGCTGTAGCTCAAGTGGTAGAGTGCTCGCCTTGAGCTGAAGAGCTGAGGGACAGCGCCCAAGCCCAGAGTTCAAGCCCCACGATCGACAAAAAAAAAAAAAAAAAGATACAAATCTTTTATTAGTAAAGAAAAGGCATTAGTGATCATAAAGCCACTAGATTTTATAAGGCCTGTAAGTTAGGCCTAGGAAAAAAAAAGACTGATAAGTTGGATGGTCTTAAGAGCAAGGGACAAAAAATAACTTTGGGATTTTAAGAATGTTGAGTAGAGAAGTAGAGGTATGGCTCAAGTGGGTAGAGTGCCAGCCTTGAGCAAAAAACTAAGGAAGAGTTCAAGCCCCAGTACCAGCACCAAAGAGTGGAGAGTGGGAGAATGATATACAATTAGAAGATACAGGCAAAGCCAAAGAAGTTGGTTCATGTAAGGGGGTATGAATGAGAAAAGTTGATGTGTGTTGTGTTGGCAGGTTGTGAAGCCAGAGCATAGCTTCTGGTGGTCCTGGTGGTCCTGGGGGCTGATCTCTGGACCTGGGCGCTGTCCCTCAGAGCTCTTCAGCTTAAGGCTAGTGCTCTACCACTTGAGCCACAATGCCACTTCTGGCTTTTTCTGCTTATGTGGTGCTGAGGAATGGAACCCAGGGCCTCAAGCATACAAGGCAAGCATTCTAACACTGAGCTACCTTCCCAGCTCCCAAAGTATATAGTTTTTAAATAGGTTATTCTCTTGTTTTATAGAAACTTCAAGGAATCATGTAGTTCCTCTGCTTGTCATAGCTGGTGAATGTCAAAAGACTAAATAATTCGGATCAAAGGATGTCTCTTTAAAGAAAATAGGTAGATTTTTTAGGGTTGGAGTAGTTACAACATGTTCCAGTACTTTGATAGACACTGATATTTATGAGTAGCCCAGACACATTCAAGGGATGGGACCATTTTTCTTGTATACTTTGGCTTTCCACTGAAGTAATTAAAGGGCTCTATTGGTCTGTTTGTACCCTTTGCCTTTTCCTTAAAAAACGAGTGGGCATAAGCCATTATTCTCTTGTTTGAACAAGCATAAGTCATTATTTCCTTGTCTGTTAGCTCCCTAACTCTGGCATTTATAACATGATGTCTCTTTTTTATTGGATATTATTTTCTTTTTCTCAAACCTATTAACACTTGAGTTGTCAGACCAAAAGCCTAACATTTTCATGATGAGTTTTCCCTACCAACTAATGCTGGTGTTTGTTTTAATATTGTAGTGCCAAGACCCGACGCATTAGACAATGAGAGGTATGGAACCTGATTAAATCCCTTTTTGTTGCTCGGATTCTTTTTGTAATATTCTGATTATATGTTGTTAAGCCCATGTTCTAGACACACAGTGGACACTGGCCCAAATCCTAAAGTTTAGGCGGTAATATTTTGAGATAGTCGGTGTCTCTTCTAAAAAGAGAACTTGTAGGAAAAAAGAGAGCTTTATTGGTGGAAAAAAACAAAAGCAAAAAATATTACAATGCCTCATAACCTAACACAGCAGGGAAATAGCTATATTCAGCCCCAGTGTTAAAACTTATAGCTAATTTGATTTGTATCCTGGCTTTAAACCAGGTCTAATGTTTTCTGTGACCTGTGGCTATTTAAAGTCCTCGGTCAGAAAACATTCTGGTCTCTGGCCAGTGAGCCAATGCCAAAGATTCCTCTTAACGTCTTACAGCTCCTTTCTCAGTTCATCCACTCCATATGTCTGAGCCAAGAATTTTCTCTTGTTATGGTCTAGTTTGACTTTGCTTTATTTATTGTCTCTCTGAGGAGCACATTCACCATTACCTTCCCTCAGCAGCAGTGTTGTCAGACTGTGCTTTTTACTTGTATCCCTGAATTGCAGTCACAGTGAATTGTAATGGTCTCAGTATGGGAAAGAAAATATTTTTAAACACAAAGGGCCTTGGAACTGGTGGCAGGTATACACATGTGGATTGGGCCAATTGCTCATAGGGTGGAGTTGTCAGAACAAGTTTGCCCTCCTAGTTCCTAATTCAAGTTTCAACCTGAAGAAAGTCATACTTCACCTCCACAGCACCTGGGACTAGCCACTCCCAGCCTCTATTTAAACCCAGAAGTAATGGCTTACCTGCACTGCAAGATGGGGGGACCCTCAACACCCTCTTTTCACAGCTCGCCCTTCTCTCTCCCTTAGCTGGGGCTTTGTTCACCCGAGGTTGCTCAGCGTACCTGAGCTCTGCCATCATGCAGCTGAAGTCTGGGTTAGTGGGACCATTTTCATAAGGAATCTTTTGCTTTTCAAAAAGCAAAACCCAGGCAAGGTAAGACTTCCATTTTTCACTTTCATACCTGGCCTCAGTTCAGTTCATGCTGAAAATTGAAATAGCTCCTTTTCTGTGTAGGGCTCATTCTGAAAAGGAAAGGAAGCTGGGCACTGTGGCTCACACCTGTAACCCTAGCTACTCAGGAGGCTGAGATCTGAAGCTAGTGGTTCAAAGTCACTTAATATTGTAGTGCCAAGTTCAAGCCCCATGACTAGCCAAAGAAAGAAAGAAAAGGCTGGGCTGGGAAGGTGGCTCAGTGGTAGAGCCCTTGCCTTGGATGCATGAGGCCCTGGGTTTGATTCCTCAGCACCACATAAGCAGGGAAAAAAAAGCCGGAAGTGGCGCTGTGGTTCAAGTGGTAGAGTGCTAGCCTTGAGCTGAAGAGCTGAGGGACAGCGCCCAGGCCCAGAGTTCAGGCCCCACGACTGGACCCAAAAAACAAAACAAAAAAAACAAAGAAAAGGCTAACATTTGTAGGATAGACAGAGGCTTCTGATTGGCCTTTAGGATTAAGGCAAGAGCTTGATGACTCCTTGTTGGTGTGTTTGGCTTGTCACTTGGAGTAGACCATTTTCTTTTTCTTTTTTCTCCCTCCTTCCCCATCTTCTGGTGCCAGGGATTGTACTCAGGGTCTTACACATGCTAGGCAAACCTACCACTGAGGTACATCCCTAGTCCCATAAAGTAGGCCATTTTCTTGCCCTAAGGTGAGAAAGAAAGCTTGCTGCATGTATTGTATGTCATATTAAAAATGTAGTAGGTTGTTGAGCTTTTGTTGTCTTGTTTACCTATTTTGACTTTAAAAAACCCAGCAACAACACTTGTTTTCAGAGAAAATGTTTGGTTAAGCCTTATTCATACCAATTTTGTGACATGAAAGGTATAGCTGTATGGGGTTACCACATGAATGGGGTTTGAGTACAAGGGAACATCCACTTTTTTCCCAAACAGAATAGCCATTGGACAGAAGAGTAGCTACATCTGTCATCTGATATGTCTATGCTTGACTTATAGATCTTAAAGATATTTCAGTCACTTCTCTACCATTAATCCCCCATTCTCACTCCTTGCCATGTGGCAGAAACTTAATATCACTTCTTGACTCTCCAGTTCTGCTTGTTGAGCTGTGGGATTCTGACCTTTTTGGCTGTCTTGGGCCGCTACATCCCTGGACTCCTGCTGTCCTATTTGATTCGTAAGTAAGGTTTGTGCCTCCCGTTAGGAGCTACTCTTGTTCATAGCTTTTCTAATTACAGCTAACCCTGGATCTAGGGAGAGAATGCCTATATCTAAGGTCACCAGAAAATGACCTTTTCATAGTTTCATGACCAGTTTAATGTTAAGAAAAATGTCTTAAGCCGGGCACCAGTGGCTCACGCCTGTAATACTAGCTACTCGGGAGGCTGAGATCTGAGGATAACAGTTCTAAGTCAGCCCAAGCAGGAAAGTCCGTTTCTTTCGTTGGTGGTGGTGGTCATGGGGCTTGAACTCAGCCTGGGTGCTGTCCCTCAGTTCTTCAGCTCAAGGTGAGTATTCTACCACTTGAGCTACAGCACCACTTCTGGTTTTCTAGAGATAAGAGTCTCATGGACTTTCTTGTCTAGGCTAGCTTTGAACTGCGATCCTCAGATCTCAGCCTCCTGAGTAGCTAAGATTACAGGTGTGAGCCACAGCACCCAGCTGAAAGTCCGTTTCTTATCTGCAATTAGCCACCAAAAAAACTGGAAGTGGTAGAGCACTAGCCTTGAGCTTCAGAGCTCAGGGACAGTGCCCAGGTCCAGAGTTCAAGCCCCAGACAAGAAAAAAGAAAAATGTCTTCTTTGTTGTAGCAGATTCCATTGAAGTACATCCTTACCTAAAATCCATCTCTTACCAGGTTTTGGAAATTTACGAGAGCCCACTAACAAAATACTATTCCCAAATATGAAGGACTGCTTATGTTTAAGGAGGGAATTTTTAGAACATTAATTCTTAGAGGTTTTTCTGTTAGATTCTTTTTGCCTTGGAGGACTTTTTACTCCCCCGGAACATTAAGTTTATAAATTCAGTTACTTGATGTTGGCATGTACTCTGGGGCTGGATCAACTGAATTGTTCTGGCTATGACTGTCATATATCAGACCCTCATATGATTGGTTGTATAGTAGAGGTGTTGTTTAATGACTCAGTGATACTCACAGCCAATGTTCACATTGTCTGGTTCTGCCCTAGGTTATCAGTAGCATATATGCTATGTATAGAGTAGGCCCTATGGCCTACAGAAGTCTCTGCCTTTAAAAGTCCTCTTTAGGGAGACTGGTATAGATAACCAGTAGAATTAAGCAGAACTATTACATACTAAATGCATGTGTAAGCCTCAAGGACACACTATCAGAGGGATGTTCAACCCCTTCTCCATTTAGCCTCCTCCTCCCATTTCTTTTCATAGTTGTCACTGTCATGATATGGCCCCTTGCTGTGTACCACCGACTGTGGGATCGAGCCTATGTGCGGCTAAAGCCAGCTCTACAGCGGCTAGACTTCAGTGTCCATGGCTACATGATGTCCAAGCAGAGAGAGAGACAACGTAAGTGTCATGGGAAGCTTCCTTCCACTTAGGCAGTTCAATCAATATTCTAGTCTAGAGCAACACATGCAGGTTTACCAGGTTTTCTCATTGGAATCCCAAACCCTCCCATTTTAAACACACACACACACACACACACACACACACACACACACACACACACACACACACACACACACACACACACACACACACACACACTCCACCCTCCTAAACTGAATAAAAGGCAGATATTGAAAACACTCATAGTATTTTTATGAAGTATTTCCTTAACTTTTCTGAATACATCATGTAATCTTTATAACAACCTTGAGAAGTGGGTAATTTTATTCTCTTTTTCCAGTATAGCTCTTATTACTGAAAGCTTTCTTCTCAAGGAGATTAAAAACTGCTCTACAGATACCAGAAGTGTACTAGCCTAAGATCTACCTAACCCATTGCTGATAGTGGTGCACCGTTTTCCCCTCTGTTTGGGTCTTACCAGTTGGGTTTTATTTCCTGATCTTCAAAGAAGCCCACATGTGATTATCAAGGCCCACGTTCTCCTAGGCCAGCTAGTTGAAAAGTATCAGTACTCAAAAGCCTAATTTAATAAAAGTGAACTGTTCCTTTAGGACCCTCTGTGATAGATGCTATCATAATCATTTACTACCTTGCCATTGGGTCTGCACCTAGCAGGAGGGGTGTTAGAAGAGTGATGTTCTAGAAGTCTTACTCTACCAACTCACCTTGTCATGTAGGCTCAGCAGCCTTATCTTCATGCATTGTTAAAGAGGCTTATAGCTATATTTCAAGGGACTCTTTTATGATCTAATTTGGAGAAGGCATAAATGTCTCCTCCAAAGGCAAGGCTGTATATGTCTCCTCAAGGGAAGGCCTCAAGCTTTTTGCTCTTTCCATACAGTGCGCCGCAGAGCTCTACACCCAGAACGTACTGCAGATAACAGTGACAGTGAAGAAGAGCTTGCTGCCTTCTGTCCTCAGGTATCTTCAGTGTGGGAGCTGCTCCACTGGCCAGTTTTCCTTAACTCTCTTTTATCCATAAGCAGCTCACATTTAGGCAGTAACCATGATAAGTTAAAGTTATGGGCTCTCCATGGCCCTAGATTCCTCTTGCCTCCCCACGTAAAGACAGCAGGAGAGAAGCTAGTATTACATTAGGCCTTTGAACCTAGATCTCAATTTGAGCCTGGTGACCAATAACTCTCTTCCATGTTTCTTCTCACTCTACCATTATGGAAGAACTTCTAGAGCTAGCCTAATCAATCTTGTATTGTAAGCAGACCTGCCCACACTTAGGTCTGGGAAGCAACTATATCCTGCCCACCTGTGAAAAATAATCTCAGTTACTTGCTTAAGGGTAAGTAGCTAAGTAATGCCCCAGATTGCTTTTCTTCCTATGCTTAAGGTTATGTTTTCTTTGGGGGAGCAGCCTAAAAGGAGTCAAGATTTTGAGTAAAGTCCCCATCTATCTCCTATCACTGGTTGTATTGATGTCCTTATATTAGTAGCCTCTAGAGCCAGCTAATTAATGAAGCCTAGGACTGGGGACTGCTCTTGATAACTAATGGTATCACCTCCTCAGCATTCTTGGTCTTTTCTTTTCCTAAGCTGGATGATTCTACAGTTGCCAGGGAATTGGCTATCACAGACTCGGAGCACTCAGATGCTGAAGTCTCCTGTACAGACAATGGCACATTCAATCTTTCAAGGGGCCAGACACCTTTAACAGAAGGCTCTGAAGGTAAGAAGAACCTTTGACCTGGTAATGACTTTCCTCTCAGCTTCCCTGGACAGAGGGAATACTGGTGCCTACTTATCTCCTGTGCTCTGAACTGTGGATCACGTAGCTTAGCACCCTGTGTGTGTGTAGCTACAGCCAGGATAGTTCTGCTCTTCTTAAAGCCCTCAGTCTTTTAGTAGCCTCAGCCTCTAGTCTCATGGACATTCTAGAGGAAGGAAGGGAAAATCTGGCCAGTGGTGATCTACTCAGAAATGGGAAAAGCTAATCAGTCCTCAGGTCTTACTTCCTACTGAGAAATCCAGGGCAGAAAAATCTGGTTATATGGTATTGGCTTTTTATGAGTCCCAGGGTACTGGAGGATGTGGTGGCTACCCATGTTTCACATGCTCTGTGTTCTCAGATTTAGATGGCCACAGTGATCCAGAGGAATCATTTGCCAGAGACCTTCCAGACTTCCCTTCTATTAATGTGGATCCTGCTGGCCTGGATGATGAAGACGATACTAGCATTGGGATGCCCAGCTTGATGTACCGGTCCCCACAAGGAACTGAGATTACCCATGCTCCCCCTTCCAGCCAGGGGGAAGCTGCACTGCCAGAGCTTCTGCTTGGTTCCCTTCCTGTAGGATCCAACCTTACCAGCAACCTTGCCAGCCTGGTCTCGCAGGGCATGATCCAGCTGGCCTTGTCAGGGGCCTCCCAGACAGGCCCTTCTGGCCCACCTCCTCGGAGAGCAACAAGAGGTTTTCTCCGGTCTCCTAGTTCAGACCTGGACACTGATGCTGAAGGAGATGACTTTGAACTTCTGGACCAGTCAGAGCTGAATCAGCTGGATCCTTCGAATTCCAGGAGCCACTAAGAATACAAGAGACTCCTTTTTGGGAATCACTGCGGTTTAGGATTTTTTTTTTTCCTCATTCCATTTAAGGTGATAGGAGAAGGGAAGAACCCAGGCAGGTCCCATCCCCTCAATTATCTTTGTATGCTGGGTGGCCTGGCTGTTGTTCAGAGGCCTATTTAAAGGATACTCATTTCCCTGCTGCCAGCTGGACATCCATTTCTGTGCTTAGTCACTGAGATGAGAATGTGCTTCCCCAAGGGAGGCTTCTACCAAGATGGTACTTTGAGGAACAAAGTTGTCAGGGATATTCTTTCCCCTTTGAGGAAGTGCTGCTGTTTGCTTTTAGGTCTGGGTGCTCAGGGCCCTCACTGACAAAAGAGCCCACCCTTTATTTCCTCTATCTCCCTGGAACCCCCAAAGTCAGGCAGCAGCTGGAAGAGTTGTCATCTTTTGTTAAATCATGATTTTTTGTTTTTAAAGCAAGCTTGTCCTTTGGCTCTTCAGAACAAGCCTGCTTCCCTTTCTCCAGCCCATCTTCTTGTTAACTGACCCCCAGTGCTCCAAAATATTTGTGAAATGTTAAGAAATGTGAATATAATGCAGGGATGGGCCATTCTTATACATCACCTCGAGCCATAGGGGTCAGATAGCTGTTGGTAGGGTTAGTGAGTGCCTCTTTATCTTGAGATCTCACTGAATCTTTTGGAGTTGTGTGATTGCCTTTGGTGCTGCTAACCCTTAGCTCTATTTGCATTGGCCTGAGCAGTAAGCAAAGCAATACCACAGCCATTTTTATGTTCCTATTCCTTCCCTGTTCCTTTGGAAAAGCAATAATTCCATGGGTGGGTGGAGGGGTCCAAAGTAGCACTTTATAAATGGCTTTGTGGCATTCTTCCCAGGAGCCTCAAACTCTTTTGCACCAACTATTCTTACTACCTTTTCAGCTTCTTTATTTTCAACTGCTCCCCTACTTGGTTAAGGCTACCTTTAAAGATGAGCCCAGTTAGCAAGAATGTGTCTGCAGAGACCCTTCTGGGTGGTATGTGCTCTGCAGACTCTAGTAAAATCATGTAAAGAACCCAAAATGGTCATTAGTTCTAAACCTGTCCAGCCTACTGCCTCACTTTGCCTCCCTAATCAGAGCTCAAGCCAAACTCTTCTATCCTCTTTCCTTCTTGCATTAACCCTTTGCTGATCCTCAGGGACCACTCCCCCAACACCACCCCCATACATGAATGAGGGATGTTGGACAGAGCCTATTTTCATGTGCTACAGGTGGGGGGAGGGGTGCTGTTTGCTCTTGGTTGATAGACAAGCTAGAGACTAGGGAGTGAAAATAGTTAATATTGAGAAAGATCTGGGTTCCTGTTTCACAGTCATTTATCCTGTTAGACGATTAGAGGTAATGGCATCTCCCCACTTTAGGGTTCTCAGACTTTGAATGACATCTCCCCAGAGCACAGATGTCTTACAGATGTGCTCTAATATGGGAGGGGGAAGGGAAAGGAGTGGGATTTTGTGTGTTTGTTTGCATGAGTGTGTGTAGCTTTAGGCCTTGGGAGTTGGCAAGAGGGAGGGAAGGAAGTTGAGCAAAATCTTTGGTTTTTCTTGTACCTGGGGGATCCTGCTCTAAATCTCTTTAATCCTCCACTGTGAATCTGGGGGTGGGCCAAGTGGGTGGGTGGGTGCTGGGAATAAATCTTGTATGACAACAATCTTTAGGAGGCTGGTACTTTTTTCTTTTTCTTTTTTTTGCTGGTTCTGGGGCTTGAACTCCGGGCCTGGGTACTGTCCCTGAGTTTCTTTTGCACAAAGCTAGTACTCTACCACTGAGCCACATCTCTACTTCTGGGTTTTTGGGGTAGTTTATTGGAGATAAGAGTCTCACAGCTTTTCCTGCTAGGGCTGGCTTTGAAACTCTTCTCAGCCTCCTGAATAGAAAGGATTACATTCATGAGTCACCAGCACCTGGCTTGAGAATCTGATATTGAATGGTGACCTCCTTGGTACATCTTTTCAACCAGAGTAATGATTAATCTGAGGATGTGACAGCCTCAGAAAAGGAAAGCTAAGTGTGATGGGCCTACTTCTCAATCCTGCTTTGTAACAGAACCACCATGAGGCCACTTGTAGAGTCGAAACATGAGTGTAACTGGCACTCTTGGCAGGGATTTAGTTTGCATTTCCTTTCTAATTCTTAATATTGTCCCCTAAGCATGAGACAAGCATGTTTCAAGAGCTAATTAGGTTTTAGGTAGCACAAAGTTTTTAAGAAGTAGTATTGTGCTCTTCCTCTTTGGTCTTCAACTGACCTCCGAAACTAGAAATACTATTTCAGATTGTGTCCCACTGGCCACTGTGGTCAGGAATGGAAAGCACCTGCCAGGTGTTGCTTGAGATTGCCTTCACCAAAGGGAGACTGCGGCTTGGGTAGCCGGCCCTCCCACCTCTGCCCTTCCACGCCCAAGTATCGAGCGCCTCCTGGGTGCGAAGCTTGGTAGTGGGCAAATGAGTGTGGCGTTGAAGCTTACACAATCACCCTCCTTACCCATTGGTCCGGTTTTACAAATGGAAAAACAAAAAACGGGGAGAGGTGGGCGCCGGAGGCTCAGGCAGGTCATCCCAACAAGTCCGGAGTCGGAGATCGGAGAACCGCGGTTCGATCCCAGCCCAGACAGAAGAACCCGTGAGTCTCCCCAACCAACCTATAGAGCCCCTAGAGATGAGAGCCAGAACGCCACGGACCGCGCTCTGAGTTCAACGCCCAACTCCGTTAACACTGAAGAGTGGGCTCGGGGCAGCCGTGGGTAGCAGGCCCGGTGACCTCGAGGCTTACTGCCGTTGATTCCCGTGCCAACACTGCCCTGAAGGCGCGGGTGACGCGCTGCAGCAGGAACTGGTCTCGGCTTGGAAGGCCCTGCGTACCCCACAGCCTCAACTCGGGGAGCGGGGAGCGAGGCGGGAGGCGGGAGGCGGGAGGCGGGAGGCAGGCGGCCGAACCCACCGCGGCGTGCGGGAAGGGCTGCGCCGTTCTTCCGGCCGGCTTCCCCTCCAGCCAATCACCGCTCGAGGCCCACCCTGCCGTTTCCGGAAGGAGCCGTCTCCTAGAGCAACCGCCATATCCGGTCATCTGAATTCGAGCGCGGGAGAGACGATGAGTAAAGGCCGTGCGGAAGCTGCAGCCGGAGGTAGCCGCGGCGCTGGCGAGACCTGGAGGGGGACGGGCGAGGGATGGTTGAGTGACACCCCCTCCCCGCCTCGTCTCCCTCCGCAGCCCCTGGGATCCTTCTGAGGTACCTGCAGGAGCAGAACCGGCCCTACAGCGCTCAGGACATGTTCGGGAACCTGCAGAAGGAACATGGACTGGGCAAAACGGTGAGGACCCCTAACGAGGCCCAGGTTCTGCTCCCTCGAGCTTTCGCTGCTTGCCTTTCACTGGCGGGAATCTACCCCCGCCCCCGTCCCCCCAGACCCAAAGACTCCTAATTGCCCCGCCCTCTCTTGTCAGGTCGTGGTAAAGACGTTGGAGCAGCTGGCCCAACAAGGCAAGATCAAAGAGAAGTCATACGGCAAGCAGAAGATCTATTTCGCTGATCAGGTGAGGAGAACCTGTGCAAGTGAACAGCTGTGCGAGAGCCTACATTGAATCAACTCCTACTACAGGTGGCACCCTAGTAATTCATCTATGCCATTAGAAGGGCCTCAGAGACTCCCGTCCTATGACTCAAACTGATTTCGGATTATGGTGGACTATAGAAGATCCTAAATTGTTTCTGCCATGATCCATTTCTGATTGGAAGCTCTTATTTCCCATTATCCAGACAGGCTGACGCTATCCTCTCTCTAAGGAGTTTCCTTCATCTTCCTCCCTAAGCTAATGCATCAACTTTGGACTCTTCAGCCAGATTTCCACCTCAAGGTCTCCGAATATCATCAGAGTCGAATGTCTCTCCTTCCCTCACCTCCACCCCAAATAAGTTTGGCTTATCTCCAGCATTCCTCATGGTTAATGGAATCATTCTTCACCCAAACCAGAAACTTGGAAATAATTTTTTCAAGTCTGAACAGGCCTCAAATATAGCTGATTTTCTTTTTTCTTTTTTTTTT